GAAAATATTTACATGTAGTTACATGTATACATTTATATTAAATATAAATATATTTAATATAGAAATATAACATTTTTCTTAAATATAGACATGCATGTGTGTGTGTGTATGTATATATACATAATAAATATACACAGTACACTTTTATTTTGGATGGGATTAATCGCAATTAATCGTTGACAGCACTAATATATATATTATAATATATGTATATTATATGCTTTTATATATGTTGATATCTCAGTTCACTTGTAGCATTTAAATGATTAATTTAGTTTTCAGAGTTTTATTTTTAATTTAAATATTTAATTTTTATTTAGACAAAATAATACAGAATCTTATATAAAAAGGGCTATAACATGAAATTTGTTATTGGTTTCTCATACTGGACAGAATTTTAATATCAGTGCATAATTATTTCTAGGTCAGTAATCAAATAAACAAATTTGTGACTAATTCAAACATCAAAAGTTCTTTATATCTACACTACTGATCAACATATTTGGGTAGGCAAGACTTTGTTTTATTTTTTGAAAGAAATTTGTACTTTTATTCAGCAAGGACGCATGCAATTTATCCAAATATTTTTTTATATTGTTATTGTTGTTACACCTTCTATTCATCAAAGAATTCTGAAAAAAATTATTACAGTTTCCACAAAAATATTAAGGAGCAGAACCATTTTAAACTGTTATAATAGGGAACGTTTCCTGAGCACCATTTTAAATTATTATTTTAAAATACATTCCAATAGAAAACAGTTTTAAATTGTTATAAAATTCCACAGTATTATGTTTTACTGTAATTTTGAATAAATGCAACAAAAAAGACATCTTAAATGTTAACAAAAAATTTTACCAACCTCATATTTTTGAATAGTGTATGTAAAATAATTTTTACTAATGATCTCAGGTTTGGACCTCACTGTATGCTGAAACCCAAAAGCAAAGCAGTGAAATCTGATTTACCTACAGAAATCCGGAGGCACCATGCCGTACACATTGATTCTGTCACAGAGCTCTAAGGCAATAGTCATTGTGAACCAGCCTGTGCTTAACCACGAGTTAGAGATTCTCCTGAAAGAGAAACAGAGAGAGAGTCTGCTGAAAACAATACAATGAATACCAAACTGCAGAAGATATTTCCATTATAAATTCCACACATGCAAGCCCAAGGTTCTGTTGCGTTTAGAGTGCTGTCCAGCTGTCAGGATGATTTCTACAACCGAACGTTATCATCAACTGCTCATCAGTTCTGCCAACCTGCCGTCTGACATGAAAGCCCTGGTGAATCTTTGACAAATAACACATTAATAAAGGAAAACAAACAGCATTAGTGAACAACAACAACCCGGACGTGATTGATTAGAAGCCTCTGATTACTGTTAAATTACCTCAGACAACAGAGCATCCACTGTCTGGCAGATGCAATGTAAATAATCTCTCGTGCATGCGCTAGAATATCCAATGGAATTAATCAACATCTAAACTATAACCTCTGCACAGTTAGGGGCCATTCACACAGAACATGTTTTTGAATACCACTGCACTGTTTTTCCATTGTTTTTTATTTATTTATTTATTTTTTTTCAAAAGCAGTACCTAACGCATGACATGGCATCCAAAAAATGCAGGTCCCCACGAGGGAAACAAATTATTAAAAATAGTAAATGGTGTTTATCTGAATGTGTAACAATGCAAACAGGTTTTCTGTAAGGGGTAGGTTTAGGGTTAGGGGATAGAAAATATCGTTTGGTCAGTATAAAAATAACAGAAGTCTATGGAAAGTCCCCACAATTCACAGAAACAAATGTGTGTGTGTGTGTTCTACTACACTTCTTATTAATTGTTTTTCTATGCACTAGATCTTTGATAGTTGTGCTGTGCAGGGTTATGTTAGTATCAACTACTAGAAACTATTATATATTTTTATAAATGTTTTTAAGTAATTTTTATTTAAATATTTTCTGTTTTCATTTAAATTTTAGCTAAAATGTGAAGAAAATTATTGTTGTGTTTTTGTCATTTTTTTGTCGATTTCTTACATTTTTTTTTGTTGTAGTTATTTTAGTGCATCAGGATAGACTAAATGAAAATGTTACCTTGGTAACTAACTGAAATAAAATAAGTTACATTTTTTTGTTTATTTTATTTTATTTCAAATAAAGTTTTTTATTTCAAGTAACAAAAATTGTTTTAGTTTTAGTTAGCCATAGTAACCCTGCTGCATCAAGGTAAAAGAAGTTGCTGTTCAGACAGTGTTATATTACTTTATAGAACAGTTCAATAACACATTACAAACGAGTAATGTCTTGGTTACATGTGTAACCCTCGTTCCCTGAAGGAGGGAACGGAGACACACCCTGCAGCATAAGAGGCAGCAGGTGCACCGCATTCATTCATGTTTTCGCTGAGGAGCCAAACCGGTGACCCGGCAGCTCAGCGGCGGTACAGCAATTGTGGCGACGGGACGTGATGTCTCCGTTCCCTCCTTCAGGCACTAAAAGAGCAATCCCTAAAAGAACAACACGGGTGATTGCATCTTTTTAAAGAAGTCTTATCATCTGTGCGGTTCTGGATGTGGTCGTTACCTGGCGCCTCAGGACCGTCACGATCGCTGCCTCACATGTCTGGGCATTAAGCACGCTGATGAAGCATTCGTGGATGGTGCATGTTCTCTGTGTGGGGACATGACCATCTCGGAGTTGCTTAAAAGACTACAGAGTCCCTCTGCCTCTGCCTCCGGGCGTCGCTGCTTCAGGTGGAGTCAGAGGTGATTTGAGGATCACAGTGAGGGCTTCTCCCGAGGAAGTTCCTCACCCCTCAAGCACTCCACAGCCTGCCGGAGGTGCGTGCTGGACATTTATTTACATTAAAAATGTTTTATCAAGTCAAGTCCCCTTTATTTATATAGCGCTTTTAACAATACAGATTGTGTCAAAGCAACTGTACAGCATTAATTGTGAAAATAGTGTCAATAATGGAAAATGACAATAATAAACACTCAATTTTCAGTTAAAGGCAGTTCATCATTGAATTCAGTGATATCATCCAGCTCAGTTCAGTTTAAATAGTATCTGCGCAATCGACGATATCGCTGGAAATTAAGTGTCCCAAACTAAGCAAGCCAAAGGCGACAGCAGCAAGGAACCAAAACTCCATCGGTGACAGAATGGAGAAAAAACCTTGGGAGAAACCAGGCTCAGTTGGGGGGCCAGTTCTCCTCTGGCCAGACGAAACCAGCAGTTTAGTTCCAGGCTGCAACAAAGTCACATTTTATAATGCATTATATTTAAAGAATTCAAGTAAACTCTAATCAAACATCAAATAAGTTCTGACTGGCTGTTGTTGTGCCACTTCATAAACCAATTTCACTTTTAGGGCCAGATTTACTAAACAGGACAAATTAGCGTTAGAGCGCAATTCCATAAATGCATGGATGGGAAGGTAAAATTCTGACAAGGTGCACATTAAAGAACACAGATGCAACATCTCATTTTCATAATGACTAGCGCAATCTACCAAGAGCAGCGCAAATTACCGCCTTATTTTACTAGAGGACATATAAACTGAAAAGATGGTGTTCAAAAAGTTCAAAAGCAAAAATATACAAGGCTTACTCATGTATTATCGAGGTGGAAGAACATGAGACTGCTCATAAAGGCAAAATGAGGATGACCACCGCCTCTGCATTTCAATTATCCAAAGAATTCAACGTCACAACATTGAACACATGTGCTTGACCAAACATAATATTTAATGTTCAATATCCAGCAAATACTATCCAGATATCATGGAAACATATTGCTTAGATCAACGCTCAGAACCCCTATGAACACATTCTGACAGACCGTATTCTCCAAAGCAGGATTGTTTAGAAGCCAATGTGACCAGATGCAGGAGAAAACAACAGAAGAGGAGAAAACTGAACTGCTAAGTCGTGGAAAAACAAAATGCCAGAACATTGCGCTGTGTTTGTGCCGCAGGGCTGTCTGTCACTGCCAGGTCGGAGAGCAAAGACACTGCGTCCCCATTGCCAAGTACTCCTGCATGACTATTTACATGACCTATAATGCACAAATTATAACACCATCAGCCTGAATTACTTTAGAAGTGGTCTTGGAGTTTAACTGTAAGTACAGTTTCAGAAGGTCCTTGAGGGCTGAGGTTCTCATGGCCCTATGACTCTTCAAGAAAGCAATAAGCCACGAGACACCATGCGTTACAGTGATTTTACCACAGGTAATGGGTGTCCACAACATGACTTAGACTGGTTTATTGCTTTTATAAAAAGGCATCAATGTGACATGACACCACTGTTCAATAAACAGTTTCATATGTTCATTCAGTTTCATACATTCATTTTATGATTGATAATTTACAAAGGAAAGAATGGAAAAAATATTATATTGCATAGAAATGTATATGTTTTATATATACACATCCATATATATGCATTTATATTTAATTTATCTACATATTTATTTATTAATATTTCAGATTTCAACAAAAGAACTAACAAATCATCAATAATTTGTATTGAACAACTATAATTGAAAAAAAAAACAAAAAAAACAATACGGTCCCCCTAAAAGATCTGTAAAGTTCTGGAAATGGAAATGTTATTTCCATTAACGTTTATCGCATATGTATTCTTCCGACAATGCAAATGGAACGCACTACTAAAATACCCTGGCAGTATTTCCTGCACTACAACCCCATTACTGAATCTACAGCGCAAAAACGACAGCCCGACCAGTGTAGTCTGATTACAGAAAGAATGATGAGCCATTTTTTTTAGTGAATCAAAAACATTTTGTTTTCCAAACAAATGACTGTAATGATCTTTTACTTTTTAGTGAATTAAAACCATACAGCGCAACCATTGTAGTTTGATTCCCGAATAAATTAATCTCATGAACTGGTTCTTTGTAGTGAATCACACACATAAAGTTTGTTACATTGTCTCATGAGACTTAAATCAGTGTATTTTGGTTGTTCATATTACAGTATGCAGTTAAATATGCACATTAATGAATATGAATATCAAACAAATGAGTGAAATATGTTGCCAAATTTTGATGTTTAGTATTGTTGTTTATTTAATACTGTATATGGGTAGGGCCAATTATAGGATTGCATTTATGATGCCTCTACAAAGACAGAAATGTTCTTAAAATGTCTTTGTAAACACCTTTTGCAAGAACTGTTTTAAATGTATTATCAAAATGATTATCTACAGCAAATCCTACTCTAGTGAAAGCATGGCTCATTGAATATTAATAAGGATACCTGACTGGATAAATCTTTAGAATTCCAGGTTATTATAAGCCAGGGGTTCTCAACTCTGACCCTTAAGGTCCACTTTCCAGCAGAGTTTAGCTCCAACCCTAATCAAACTCACCTGAACAAGCGAATCAAGGCCTACAGGATTACTAGAAAGATTGGTCACGATTGGAGTTAAACTCTGTAGGAAAGCGGACCTTGAGATCCAGAGTTGAGAAACGCTGTTACATGCTGTCACTACGGTTATTCATTCATGTGTTCCACAAAATCAAAAAGTAAACTATTCTTTTAATAAGCACAGTAGGCTTTGCATGACCTAAATTATATTGAGTTCAGCCTCAGCCACAGTAGGATTTGTTAATTTGCAACCTAGATTTTCAACCCAAAACATCACTGAGGTAAAATTTACAGCTAAAAATAGTAATTACATTTACATTTACATTTATTCATTTTGCAGACGCTTTTATCCAAAGCGACTTACAATTGGGGAATACATACAGCGATTCTTCTTAAAGAGGCAAACAGACACAGGAAGTGCTCGTAATACCAAGTTTCAGGCATTTGTTCAAATAAGTACAAGCTAGAAACGGAAGGAATACATAAAGAGAAAGAGAAAGTTTTTGATTTTTTTTTTTTTAGGATGAAGTCAAGTAGCGTTGAAAGAGATGAGTTTTCAGCTGTCGCTTGAAAATTGTCAGGGATTCAGCATTCCGGGTGGGAAGATCGTTCCACCAGCCAGGAGTGGTGAACGAGAATGTTCTGGAAAGTGATTTTGAGCCTCTCTGTGGTGGTACCACGAGGCATTGCTCACTAGCGGATCTCAGACTTCTGGAGGGGATGTAGATTCGAAATAGTGAGTGGAAGTAGGCGGGTGCTGAGACTGTGGCTTAAGTGCGTTGCCGGTTTCGTTGCTCGGTGAAGTCGTGCAGGTAAAGTCGCAGGTCTTTACACTCGTCGGTCTTCACCCGAGGAGGCTGAACACGAGGGCTGAACGCTTCCGCTGATGCTTCCGCGTCAGTGCACAGACATCAAAGATATACACAGTCTAAGAGACTAAAGTGAAAAAAGCTGTGACCGCCTTCTAATTAGCACAGTCAATAGCCTATAGCAGGGCAATTGTTTGCCCTGAATAATTATTGGTATATGATTGTTTGTGATTAATGCATTTATAGGCAGTAGTGTTTTTTAGTTTCTGTAGTTTCTTATAGTAACTTTGAAATTCTGCATGTATGCAAACAAACATGGGAAAACACTGATCAAACCAATAAAGCAACAGCAGCCATCCTTCTCCAGTCCAATTCTGACATCTAACAGAGACAGATTTTTGTTGCGCATGGTTGGTATGATTCTCACAGCAATCTTTTGTCTTCTCTGCTTTTCATTTGCCACTTTTGGGAATAACACCAACGAAAATGATACAAGATGAAAGAAAGACACACTTTGACGGCTGCAATAAGACTGCTGTGGTAATAAGGGACAGCAGCTACAAAACACTCCTGTATCATTCTAAGCCAATTCATCAGTGGTAATATTTGCATTTCTTACTAATGAGCCTCCAAATAGTTTTAAGGAGCACTCTGTAAAAATTGTGTTTTTGCTATAAAACCCATATGAAAACACATTCACTAATGAGATCTTCAGGATGACACATCACCATAACTAGATTAGTGTTCATTTGAACTATCAGAATATAACCAGGACCCGTAAATTTACAGCATTCACTTTAAAAAATAAAGGTTCCAACAGGGGGTTTCACAACGATGCCATAAAAAAAACATTTTTGGTACCTTTCAGTGAACAGTTCTTAAAAGAACCATTTTTTTCTTTGTGTGAAGAACATTGAATTAGTCTGAAGACCACTTTTCCACTATAAAGAACCTTTTGTGCAATGGAAAGGTTCCATGTATGTTACAGGTTCTTTATGGAACCATCCATGTCAATAAAGAACCTTTATTTTTAAAAGTGAATGACAAATTCATGTTCTGTGGACAAAAAATGAATATATTAAAACCCCCATTCGCTGCAAACACACTACGCTGCGCACACACACTTGCTTTGATTAAGTGGAGATCTTGGCTTAATGTTCAAATCTAGAATCCCACAAAAACTGATTTCCCATGTGATCCTAGAGTTGAAAGGGAAAAAGAGGCTGGTCTTCTCAGAGAGCAGTAAATGTGGAATAAGAATGGCCTCTGCAGACTCTATTCTAGGACACGCATCATCTTTCCTTTATAACACCTTTTTAAAATAAAAATAGGTCACGAAAAATTAGGGCATGTCACATGGATAATATTGGCACGTTGATGAAAACGTCTGCTATCTCAATAATGTAAATGCACGCCTTCGGTTAATTGAGTTCTGCAGACCCATTTTAGTTCAGAAATGGGTTTGAAAATATTTTGCCTTTATACAATGAAACATCAAAGTAGTGTATCATCACATATTTAAGCTTATTTCCTGAACCGTATCATTACAGATACTAAAATTGGCCTCTTATCAAATAATACAATTTTAAATTGGCTCTGTAAAACATAATAAAGTGGCCGTTACCTGTCTTTGCCGGTCTCTCTCTTGAATAGTTCATCAAACTGGAGCATTTTCTGCCAGGAGATGATATAGACCTTGAGTTTAGGCAGCACTTGGTTCATAAGCCGCAGGTTGTTATAAACCAGCCCTTTCCCATCACGTCGCATGTAACTGCTGGGTCCCCAGAAGATGAAGACCGTGTCCTGACTGGAGTTGAGGAGTTCGTGGCGGCTGCGCAGCACTCTCTGCATGCTGGAATGAGCGATGACCCTCAGGCTCGTACGGTGACCCACGTCCACCCCGTAGCCACGGGCCGTGGGCGCGTCATTCATTCGGATGACACACTCCGCCTGATCGATCTCTTTTCCGCGACCCCCACCAGTTAGATGACCCGAGCTGGTGACCAGCGCGCAGCTCCTGCAGTGCATCTTCAGAGGCTGTGGGGAAGAGAGTGGAAAGATTAGCTCTATGCAAGCGTAAAACCATAGTCAATATTTCATACAGAGTCTATATTAGATGCAACAGTCATTTAAATAATGTATACGTGGCTAAGCAAATGTAAACACTGGTGTTCAAGGCAAACAAGTTTAACCTCAATGCCTTATTGGTATTTCTTTAACTACACTTTTATGGCCCAGGGGGTGGAGATTTCTTTTTTTTCTTCTTTTTGTTATATAAAGTTCAAATTAAAACTGTTTTAGAAACCTTTACACCAGGCCAGTTTTAGTTAACAGCAACAACACTTTACAGTTGTGACATTTTCACCATTACTAACGAAATACTATATGAAATTTACTATACGAAATTTAGAGCTTGAGATAAAATATGTAATGTGAATATTTTGACTAGAATATAATAATAAGCAGAATATTTGTATTGTGTGTCATTTCTAATCATACTTTAATTCTGTTAAATTATGCAAAAAATGAAAATATTATTTCATTGTGTGTATTTAGGATACATAAAATGCTAGCTATGAAATTAGCCTTGCATTTTCATCAAACAATGATATTAAAGAGATAATTCACCCAAAAGTGAAAGTCAGGTTTGGAACAACATGAGGATGAGTATGATGATGACAAAGCATTTTTATTTGGCAGCGGCTATCTGCACTAAGTGTCAATAGCGATAGATGCTATTTACACTATATGAAAATAACATATTTTCTTAGCGATAGATGCTATTTACACTATATGAAAATAGCATATTTTCTTAGCGATAGATGCTATTCACACTAAGTGCAAATACTGTAGCAATGGATTCTATTTACAATAAGTGCAAATAGCAATGGATTCTATTTACAATTAGTGCAAATAGCAATGGATTATATTTACACTAAGTGAAAATAGCTGTATTTCTTAACGATATGTTATTTACACGAAGTGCAAATCTAAATTCTACTTACAGTGTTAAAATAGCAAGATTTCCTGCTATTTATAATACTTACTGAAAATAGTGGCATTGAATTGCACCTCAGTATTGTAGTACATTATAAAATAGTACGCAATATTAACATTAACATCAACGAGTGTAAATTATAATTTTAATTCAAATTATTAAATGGATGCCACTTTATTGGGACAATAAAGCCATCCCTACACCTACACCTACCCTATACCTGATATTTTATTTTCTACTTTTTAATTATTTCCTTAATTTTTATTGAAAATAAATGCCTTTACTTTTGATATGAGATTTGAAAAGGGAGAAAAAAGTTTCGCAAAAGGCGGGTTCGAACTCGGGTCGATCGCGTCAAAAAGCTCATACCTTACTATCTACGCCAGTAGACCTGATGTTTAATACGTGTCTTTTGTAGTGTTGACTACCCCAGTCACACGTTGGTGGGCAGAGTTAGTGTAAATAGCCTCTGCCAATAAGGCAGGCTATTTGCACTTAGTGTAAATAGACACTGCATTTTTATTTCTGGGTGAACTATCCATTTAATATACAACATATGTGGTGGAAATGACGTGTTGGTTAAAAAAAAGAATTCTTTGGTTAAAGAAGAAAAATTAAATAGATTACTGAGAGTGTAAATACTGTTTTAAGGGAACTTATTTTAAATAGTAGTTTATTAGTTTATTTTCCACAAGGGCCAAGTGTCCACTGGTGAAGAAACATCCTCATATGACTAAACAACTGTTTAATTTTGTCTTCAGATCCTCTTTTGGTACTCTGGGTTATAGGTCTGGTAGAATGCACCTGAGAATCAATGGAGGCTCTTCAAATTAAAAGATCTATTAAGAGAAAAAAAGTCCTAGTTTCAAAGATACTGTTGACATATGCACTGCAATTTTGCCTGAGGATTTCTTTATTCACAACATCTTGTTTGAAGCGGTTAGTAATTCAGGCCTCCTAACCTTGAATAGTTTTAAAATCCGTCCAGCTTCTCCTACACATCTCCACATTCAAACCACATACTATTCCACTGCGTGGCTTTCCATTCTCTACAGCTTTCCATGAATTATTCCAAGCCGACATAAACGGCACAGTCACCAACGACATTGGTATTCTTACAGTGATAAGGGCACAGTCCCTTCAGACCCATCCTTGGGGGATAAAGTGTTTCAGGAATAAAGGCCCATCTTCGCTTCTCAAGGAAGTGTTGCATTTACGGTGAAATTTCTCTTCCCCATCCTCTGTCACGCTCTTTAAATCAATAATATGCAAAGAGCGCTGCCAGCATTGCGTAATTTGTCCTGGATGAAGGCATCTGCTGTGAGGGAAATAATAATAACAAATGGTGCCATGTATTCTCCAGGCAGTGCTGTGGCATTTGCATGCGTGCGTCTCCTCTTGGCGTCCGATGCTCTCTAGGTAATGAAACTCAGCCGCAGGTCAAAGCAGACACAGGTGCTGCTCCACTGACATAATGTTTAATGAGGCCGGGAGCAGCTGAAATCCTTGTGGGCCACATGAGCTTCCTGTGTCACAAAAAATCCTTTGTTTAACTGCTGATAAACGCCCCAATATAGTCGATAGCTGCACGGGAGACTCTTGAGATCTGTTTTATCCAGATGCTGCATTAGTGAGGGTTAAATGAACACAATAGCAATTCCTTAGAGTCATTGTCCAACAACTCTTAACATGTGGGCATTTAAATCTGCCCTGGGACAGCAAAAATCAGATATTTTTTTTGGCATATTCAGCTCAAATCCATGCAATATTGAAATCTAAACAGCACAAAAACACATGAAATGGGATCAACTTGATCTGAAACACATTAACACATGGTTTGTGTCCAGAGTAACTCATTGCCAGGGTATGGACCGCCAACCGCAGATCTCCAGAGTCCTCTGTTCCCTTTCAGTCGGTCACTCCCAACGTCACGTCGGATGACCGACGAATTGGGATCTCGCTTAGAGAGACCAATCTACTTCGAGTGTAAACTAAACGAGCCAATGCACATTGGCATGCGATTATTGCATCCAGCTGCTGCTGATCACAGCGTGAGTATAAGTAGGCAGCAGATGCAGCGCATATTCAGCTTTTC